TTAATAAAATTTGGTATTCTACGGTTTTTGGGGTCGCTAATTACCAATTTGAAGTCAGTTTTTCAAAATTCAAAATGGCGGACAAGAATTAAAAAATTCATTCGATTCGCTCGAAAATTGTTACTCGGGGGGTTTCAGGGTTAGCAAATTTGATCATTTTTAAAAATAAGTTTTAGGAAAGTACGCCATTTTGAATTTAAAAAATTTGACTTTTATTTTTGTATTTACATTCAATCACTCCAAAATACTTTCTGTACCAAGTTTTGCAAAAATCCGTTATGATTTGATAAAGTTATTGAAGGTTTTAATTGTGTAATGCATTTTAATTTTTAACCTGTTTGATTTTTGTATTTATATATGATGCATTATTACATAATAGGTTTATTATCGTATTTTTTTTGAGTTTTTATATAAGTTTAACAATTGCAATACTTTAAATTTATTTTCCCTAAGATTTTTCTGAAATACAGTGGCGTTCGTATTTACCCCCATATTTTAGGAAAGTTGCAAAGTATCGAGGTAAATACGAACGCTAAGTTTCCTGCGATTGTAATTTATCAAAAATTTTTTCTACCCCATAAAATTGTTCTATGGAAGTAAAGTAACAACTTCATGCACCAGAATACCGGAAGTATTTTTTTTTTAAAGAAAAAACTTATGTTATTGTTGAAACTTACTAAAAGCGTTCGGATTTACCCCGGTTGACCCTAGTCAATTTTCTTCAATTTTTTTTGCACTTTAGTTGTTCAAATAATTATATTTTTTTAAAATAATGCAAAAACCAATATTTTTTTCTAAAAGTAAATCTATTCACCTTTCAAAATGTGATTGATATTTTTAAAATAGTCAAATTTTCGAAAAACTACATTTTTAAAAAAAAAAAAAATTTGGCAAATTTTTTTTTTTCGTTTTTGCAATTTTTTTAAAACTTTTTTATATTTTAACAAAAAATCAGTAAAACTATTGTTTTCCTTCCAAAAAAACCAATAAAAATCATTATATATAATTAGTTTTATGTCAAATAGAAACCTTTTTACACAAGTTTCAAGTTGGGAGTGTCTAGACACCCCAGTTACCCTTTAGAGGGTGAGGAAATTCATGTACTCCTTCTAGGGTTAAAGAAGGTTATAAAAAATGTAGTTTTTTAATAATATATGTTGTTAAATTTACATGCACTGAAAAAAAATTTTTTTGTTTCAAATAATCAATAATAATTTATGTATTAGAAAAAATACGATTTATGTGACTCAAATAATAATTATTTAATATAAATAAATATTTATGATAATAGTCAAGTTACTGAGTATTTGAATCAAATAAATCTTTTTACAGTGTCTATTTAATTTTCGTATTTGAATAAATAAAATCAGATACAAAAGAACTATATTCAATTATAAATTGTACAATTAAAAATTAGCTTACATATAATAATTAGGTTAAATAAATTTTAGACAATAGCTTATAAAAATATTTTATTATGTAAAGTTCTGAAAAAAATTCGATTATTTTATGATTCAAGTCAATAAAACAATTATATAATTATTTTTATAAAATATCTTTAAGTCACTTAGATCTCGAATAAACTTTAAGGGGAAAAAAAGTTTTAATCGTTTTACATTATAAAAAATGTCAGTAACAGTCAATTTTTAAATTTATTTCAAGGTTTTAAAAACAAGAAAATTATATACAATTGATTGTTAAGAATCATAAAAGAAAATATGTAAAAAAAATTGCCCATGAAAAATGATATAAATTGTCGAAGATGAATTTGTATAAATATTGTATGAGCTGCGGAATATTTTCTCTAAAATTTATTCAACCTATAATTATTATAAATGTGCTAATTTTTAATTGTACAATTTATAACTGAATCTAGTTTTTTCTTATCTGATTGTTATTAATTCGAATGCGAAAATTAATAACAAGTAAATTTAACAACACGTTATATTAAAAACCTTAATTTTTTATATCCTTTTTTACATTAAGTTGTTATTTAATATAATAATTACTTTTAAAACTTTAAATTAATTTTAAAATTAATTTGAAAAATATGCAACAGGTGCGCGTTTATCCCTGATGGGCGAAATATTGTAGTTAGAATTAGATTATTTCGGTCGATTTTTTTTATTATCACCTGACGGGCGAAATAATCTATTTTTTATTTCTCACGTCTTCTAAATCACATTTATTACGACAGGCGAAATAGCCACTTCACACAATCGTATCTATTTCGCACGTCGCGGGCGAAATATAAGAATGAAGTAGTTCGTCCGAGCGGGCGAAATAGATGCGCGCAGATATGTGAATTTCTAAGTTCATTGGTCGTAATAGAATACATAAATCAATTTATTCTACATCATAAAATGATATAATTATTAGATAATTATTTTATTTTTAAATATATTCATTCGAATTTGAAAAATTTGTCAGTAAAAAAATTTCACAATTTTTCGATGCTTGTAACATTTTCCTAAAAGCTTAAAAAATTTTGGGGTTTCGCACATATTTTTAAAGATTCCAGAAAAAAGTTACAAGCTTCTAAGAATTGTAAAATTGTTTGACTGAAAAAATTTTCGGGTGTACTTCCGAAGTAGGGGTACCTCCGATCTAAATGAAACTTGGTATACTAACGTATTTTGGTGCGCTGATTAAGAAAATGATAGTGAAAATTGGCGCAAATTTGATTATCATGGTAAAAACCATAAAAAAAACACCATAAAAAAATTGTTTTTTGCGATTATCTCGTAAAAAACGCAAAATTTCGAAAAAAGTTTTCGACAAAACTTGTAGATCTCAAATAAACACACATTTTATGTTTTATGCATTTTTTACAAAGTCATTATTTTTCGAGAAAAATCCAAAATACCAAAAACACCATGATAATGATAACATATACAACAGTCATGGTTAGACATATTATTTAACTCGTATATAGTATCATATTCACCATTACTCAGGATCCAACGAATTCAGCAAAATACTTTTGGCCATATCCACCCCCTCTCACCAAGGTTTCTTTAAAAAGAAAAGCGAGCAGTACCTTACGCGGTCGAAGGCCGTGTTTACTATTTTGCGTTCACCGCTGCTGTAGACTCTACCCCACAATTTCAGCAAAATACTTTCGGCCATATCCGCCCCCTCTCGCCAAGGTTTCTTTAAAAATGAAAGCGAGCAGTACCTTACTTACAACTACCAAATTCCTCTCTAATTACTATTTTTCCATCATTTTGTGGCGTTTTTGATCGTTTTTTGGATTTTTCTCGAAAAATAATGACTTTTGGTAAAAAATGAATACAACATAAAATATGTGTTATTTTGAGACCTACAACTTTTGTTTGAAACAATTTTTGAAATTTTGCGTTTTTTACGAGATAATTGCAAAAAACCATGATTTTATGGTGTTTTTTATGGTTTTTACCATGATAATCAAATTTGCGCCAATTTTCACTATCATTTTCGTAATCAGCGCACCAAAATATGTTAGTATAGCAAGTTTTATTAAAATCGGAGGTACCCCTACTTCGGAAGTATATCCAAATTTTCAAATTCGAATTAACATCTAAAAATAAAATAATGATAGGGTCAGTTGGGGTAAATGGGGACAAAATCGCAATATTTCACAAATTACGTAAGTTACTTTCTTTAAAAGGTAATATTTGCAGGTTTATTTTTTTTAAGTTGTTATTTACATTCCCAGGATTAATTTTATGCAGCAGAGAAAAATTTAGATAAGTTTTAAACGCATGAAACTGACTGTCTCCATTTAAACCAAAATTTAGAAAATTTCGTAAAATTTGGGGTCAATGAGGACAGCATAGTTTCTAATAAAATTTTAAGAAAAAAGTTACCATAAGTATATTAATGTATTAAGGGATGAAAAAACTTGAAAAAAATTTGTAGTAGATATATATATATAATAGTTGAACCAATTAAATTTTTTTTATTTCAGTATTTTGTCTCGCATTTGAAAAAAAAACTTAAAAATCATACCAAATTTTTTTTTATTCCTTATGTCTCCCATAACATAAATTCATTTGAATTTGTGATTTTTGTCAATTTGGTTAATAATAACATGCTGTCCCCATCTATTCTGAGTTTTCAAATTCTTAGGGTAAATGGGGACATCTTGTTATTATTAACCAAATTGACAAAAATGAAAAATTTAAGTGAATTTCTGTTATAGGAGTGATAAGGAATAAGAAAAAAATTTTGTAAGATTTTTAAGTCTGTTTTCTTTGAAATGCGAGACAAAATACTGAAACAGTTTGACTTGGATTTTCAAGTTTTTATATATTGAGCGATAGCTTGAATTATCTTGCTGCCAATTGTCAAGATAAAAGCTTGGCAATACTCAAAACCTCTTGCAGGTGATCTAAGGTCAAAATATTGACGTTGAACTTAATTTTAAATCTGTAAATTAAGCTCCAAATCCTCTTGTCCCCATTTACCCCTATAATAATTCCATCATTTTTTAATTGACTTATGTTTCCAGTAAATAAGAATATGTAATATTTGGCAGTTGTCGAATAATAATATTTTCAAAAAAAGTGCAACATTTAAGATTACCAAATCACGTCGTGAACCTCTTACTTTTAATAAATTATAATTTAAAACGAAATAAAATTTACACGGTAATATTATGACCAATGAACGTAGAAATTCACATAGTTTCACATAATATTAAAACTAGATTTTTTAAAAATATTCCAGCTGACACGCTCAGATGATTTTCAGTGGTTTGATGGAAATGCGCATTTTTTTATTTTTCATAAAAATTTTGAAAAAATAGAAATTAATAAAAATCTCACATGGAATGACAGATTAAAAAAACACAAATCAAAAACTTTCTCAGTATGATGAGAATTTTAAAACATTAAAAGTTAGTAATTTTAATTAATTTATTAACAACATCGTTTTTAAATTATTTTTATGGATGTAAAACATCTTCCTTGGTCACCTGTCAAATTCAATGTGTTTACTTTCATTCAACTGATACACAGTTGAATGGACAACTCCACCTAGCGGACGAAAAGGCGGCGCGACAGCAAGTCGTTGCGACATGGTAAGTAGTAAGTTACGACGTGGTAACTTATCACGTGGCGCTGATGTTGTATTCTTCATTTTTGATCGATTACCGACAGTATTCTCGCGTATTATATACAGTGAATTGTACATTTATTATTTATTTTACTATTTTTATATTAAAAACAGTAAAATATGTAATTATTTATACAAAATTAAATTAAATACATACTAATGTATAAGTATATAATAAGTCACGGTACCCTGGAACCAATCTCAACCCTCAACATTCTCCCTTTCAAAAATTCCTGTTGCAACTTGTTCGGGGTACCTCACTGAATATTTTTCAACAAGAAAAATCAAAATCCGTCGGGCGCTTTTTTTTAATTTCAATTTTTGTGATTTTAGCGCCAAATTAAAAAAAACTGGTTTTGATAATTATTTAAAGTAAAATTCAACTTCACATGGTCAAATTTTGTTCCAGAAATTATACAAAATCATAATTCCGGTAGAAATTTTTCTGTAGAATCGAAATCTGACATTGGCTTTCGAATTAAAAGCAGAGGAATCCCAGAAAATCCGGAAAACTGTAAATATTCTAAAAACAATCTCACCGTAGCGTCGTTTTTTCCAAATTGTCTGTTAAATTTTATAAAAATAAGAGCAATTTCAAAATTTATCGAAATTTCCCAATAAGTAACAGTTACATTTTCAAATTTACAAAACAAAATATTATAGAATGAACATTTTTTTGGCAGTGATTAAAATTTTGAATTTAAAAGTTAACAAAATCTAGGGTATGTTTACGACGTTTCTACACGGAAAGAAATTTAGTAGCAATATTTGATAAATCTGATAGGAAATTTTAGTATTCTCTTTTTCAAACGCGGAACATTTGGGTTTGATAACGAAAATCGGTATATTTTTACCAATAGTCTTTTTAGTAAATATATTCCAGAAATTGAAATTATTATTTCGTAAATTGATAAATTTATATGAAAATTTGGAAAGATTATTTCGAAATTTGTTAAAACTATTGGGATCTGACATTCGTACACATGCCATCTGGTGTTGAAAAATGTAACTAGTTTTGGATAACTGTTTGTGTCACTTGCAATTGTAGTTCCGCTGTCATTGTTAATTATTTTATCATTATGAATGAAGCTACATTTTTTACCGCGTGAGAAATCTTCCTGCAGAATTAAGTGTTCTGTGAGAGGCTGTGGCAGTACTGTAGCGAAAAATTTAAGCGTAATTTTCCATAAATTTCCGAAACCAAAACAACGAGTAGTGGATGTGAAAAATACGTTCGATAATTTTGAAAGTCGATCAATTAAAGGCCTGGAAAAATGCTTTAAAAATACACAGTATAAAGCCTTCTATGAGAGTATGTTATCTGCATTTCAAAAGAAGTGATTACATTTTGCCAGGTAAGTTTAAGATTTTAAAATTTGGAGGTTATATAATCTTTCATATTACCCGTGCATGTGAACATTTTGAAAGTTAATTTATCACTGTAAAAACGGATAAATAAATTTTTTTTTCACTTCTTGTTAACAGACTTTTGCAATGAAAAATGAAATATATACATTTATAAATTTTCATATAATTACATGAAATATAAAGGAAAATACAATACTTTTCTTGCACATGTATCGCTGGATTTGAGAAAATCATTTGTATAAAAATAAGATTTCTTTTATATTTTTATTCATGTTTGTAAATAGGAATTTAAATAGTAATTTTGTATTAAAAAAATTCACTTATACATTTATTAAATTAAGCAATATTTTTTAAACGATTTTGTTCTATTGCATCCCATGTTATTCCCATGTAAATTCACTAAAAGTGTTACCCAATTTACGCCATATTGCTTTAGGCCCCGCCCCCATGTCAGATCCCAATACTAAAAATTCGAAGTGGTTCAGTCGTGACAGATGACAACAGAAATACCAACAGATTCTACGCCAAAGTTTTATCTCTTTCTCATCTCGAGGATAGACGAGGATATGAACTTTTAAATGCACACACACACATACACCGCAATGTTTTACATCGATTGGCTTATTTTTATTCCTAACCTATACTAACGATAATACGTATAACATTCGCAGAATAACGCTTCATATACAAATTTACGCACATGTGAAAAACTGATGTGACCATTCTTATATACTAACCAGACATATTTTTCACCGCTTATGAGAAAGGTGAAATTATATCAAAACATGTTTAAAAATATAAATAAAAATCATTATTTATTGGGAAATAATTAAATATTTTATTATTTTTTGAAGAACAATTTTTTTTACTGATTTATTGTAAAATATTCGAAATTAATTATATAAAAGAAATTCAGGTCTGTATCAAGATAATAGTAAAAAGGGGCTTGTCTAAAGAGCTTCGTCAGTCTTCGTTACCACTCGGTGAGGATCGGGCAATTCCGAACGTTCAACTTCGGCAAATTTCGTCGAATCTCGTTAACTTTGATATTTCTTTTTCAATTTTCATATCGAATATATCAAAATATAAAATAATTATATCATTTTATACAATTCTAATTACGAAATTTGAAATATTTGGTTAGAAAAATTGATAAAGAACTTATTAAAATTTGACATTTGAGAGATTCTTTTTCAATCGCCCCAGCCCAAAAAGTCAATGTTCTGGGATTGGCTTCATACTTTGGTAAATTGTTGTCCTATATGATAGTAATAAATCCCTAAAATATAAATTAATTAAAAAAATATTTGTAGAAAGTAGAGGGGGTTGAAGTTTTGACGTTAAGGGTAACATTGTCATTTTCAAATCCGTTTAACTATGACAAAAGTTAATGGATTTTAATTTATCTATAATGAATTTTATTGCATTTTTCACGTACTTTTCAAAAATGTATGTGAAATTTAAAAAAAAAAATTTTTAACCCCTTTTTTGTCAAAATCAACCCTTATTTTTCGATTTTCACCCCTTCGGGTATTTTTTTTTTTTTTTTTACTTTCATTGGAAAGCTGAGGTTTTTTCCGATGAGCTATGTAAATATGAAAATGGGACAACAATAATTTTGTGAGAAACAGAATATTAAAGTAGGCGGTGCCGATAAGGGTGCCGTTAAGGGTAACATTGTCATTTTCAAATCTGTATAACTATGACAAAAGTTAATGGATTTTAATTTATCTATAATGAATTTTATTGCATTTTTCACGTACTTTTCAAAAATGTATACAAAATTTAAAAAAAAAAATTTTGACCCCTTTTTTTTCAAAATCAACCCTTATTTTTCGATTTTCACCCCTTCGGGAATTTTTTTTTGTTTTTTTTTTATTTTCATTGGAAAGCTGAGGTTTTTTCCCATGAGCTACGTAAATATGAAAATGGGACAACAATAATTTTGTGAGAAACATAATATTAAATTAGGCGGTGCCTATCTAAATCCTCAAATATGATCTCCAGGTACACCCCTTATCGGCACCGCCTACTTTAATATTCTGTTACTCACAAAATTATTGTTGTCCCATTTTCATATTTACATAGCTCATCGGAAAAAACCTCAGCTTTCCAATGAAAGTAAAAAAAAAAAAAAAAATACCCGAAGGGGTGAAAATCGAAAAATAAGGGTTGATTTTGACAAAAAAGGGGTTAAAAATTTTTTTTTTTAAATTTCACATACATTTTTGAAAAGTACGTGAAAAATGCAATAAAATTCATTATAGATAAATTAAAATCCATTAACTTTTGTCATAGTTAAACGGATTTGAAAATGACAATGTTACCCTTAACGTCAAAACTTCAACCCCCTCTACTTTCTACAAATATTTTTTTAATTAATTTATATTTTAGGGATTTATTACTATCATATAGGACAACAATTTACCAAAGTATGAAGCCAATCCCAGAACATTGACTTTTTGGGCTGGGGCGATTGAAAAAGAATCTCTCATTTTTGTGTTTCAATAAAAAGATTTCAGATTTCGTAAATATTATATCAAATTTTCTTTCCAACTATATTAAATATTCTTATTTTAATCTCAATCATTCTTAAAAATAGTATCGAAAATCGTTATCATGCCAAAATGTTCCGCAATTGTAACCAAATATACTAAAAAGTAACACCATAATATCAAATATTGCTACAAACTTTCTTTCCGTGTACTGATTTTAAATTTTCTGATTCAAATTTGCTTTCTGTTATTAAATATGTAAATATATAAACAATTTTTAATTCGTTTCTAGTCTGTTTTTTTCCCAAGAAATTTGCGCCTGCGCCAATTAATCTTGGCTTTTTCACAAAGAACAATTGAGTAGCTGCCTGCAATAACTCGCCGAGCGCTTGGCCGATCGCTCTAACGCCAGTCAAACGTTCAAAAACGTGAAAAAAATGAAAAATCAAAATTTTGATTTTTGAAAAGTGCAATCTTGTAGGACATAAGATGGCGCATCTTTTTTTCCTTTGAGTTTTTTTTGTAGATCAAAAAATAGAGTTAATATATGCAAAACACTTAAAAATTTTATTTCACAAATTTCATTCAATTTTTAAACATAAATCTTAGTATCTTTGACAAATTTCAATAAATCTTATTGAAAATTAATATACATACGTATTTAGGTCCATAGAAGACGACAACATAATCAAAAATATTAAAATCATCAATTGTTTATTTATAATTAATTGTAAATGAAGACTTGTCAATAATAATGTTTACTTACCTTTGACGACATAAAGTGTGTGGGGAACTTCAGAGTTGAAGAAACTTCCAGTGAGACATTTGTTTACCATAATGTAAGGAAGTTTTTTGTAAAATATAAAAACAATTTATCAACAACTTTAGAAAATATAGAACGTTTAAGAAAACATGCGCGACGCGCTAGCGAGTCTCCGCGCGGAGAATTGCACACAAGAGTTAAGAAGGACGTTATGTTATGTTCTGATATATTATGTTTTGAAAATGGAGCCAACATACTATCACTGTTGATATGTAACAATACACTAATTTCTTAAAAAAATGAAGAAACAGAAAATAAAGATATACCTTAATATTAATT